GGGCCCGCGGCGAGCCCCCGGCAGGGCGGTTTCTGCCGGGAGCGGAGGGGTTGGGGCCGGGGCCCGGCGGTCCCTGAGCCCCGCGGGGCGGGAGGGAGGGGGCCGGGGCCCTCCGCTTCCCCGCCGGGGTGCGAGAAACGCTTCGTCCTGTTGAACGGTTCCTGTTCCGTACAGACAGCTGTGAGTCCGGTAGTCTGTGCCTCTGCTGCTGAAAATAGCGGTGCGGTGGGAGCCGTGAAGTTGTGTGCAGGTTATTAGAAGTCTTCTAGACTAAACGTAGTTTACTAACTGAGCGTTTAATGGGGGAAAATAAGGGCAAACGTCACATCTTTTGCTATCCGTCTGCAGCTGTATTTACACTTACACTTGAGCGGGTCATTTCAGGGACCCATAGAGTAATTTTTGAAAATAGCACTGCCTGTTTCATAAATGTTGACACTCAGCATGGCAGGCTTGATTTAGTGCTGATAAGGTTATAAATAACTTTATTAGCACCATGTTCTTAATTGAGCGGCTTGCTGAAAGTCTGGAAAGCGCTCAAAGTGGGTGTTCAAATTTCTAAGCTTTCTGCCTCAGTGTTGACTTGAATGTGATACCACAGGTGTTATCAAAACCAAAATAAAGCAAAAAATTAGGATTTAACTTAAATTGTCTACCAACAATTCAGTGCTTTCCTTTTAAGCTTGACAGGTGCTGTGTCCATTTCTGACATGCCTTATGTCATAGGACATGCAGCGTCATTGACTGCAGTTCTGTGGTATTGATGAAACTGATGTAATTTCTGTAGTTGTAAGGAATTGGCTTTATTGTAGTATTATGAATTGCTTTGTGGTGAAAAAAAGAATGGTGAAGGTACATACTGATATGCCTGAAAGACAGCTGAAAAAATAACTTTATAAAAAGTAAGGAAATTGTTGGGGAGCGAGGGGGGCAGAATTCCTAACTATCTTCCAGCGGCTGATTTTAAATTGAAATGTAGTTAAAAATCATTGTTACTCTCTGACTCTTCAGGACAGGAAAACATTAGCAGAAGATATTTCTTGATAGAGCAACTAAAAATTCTAACCCACCTAATGGTAACATTATGTTATATAGTACATAGAAGTAGGGTTTTTTCCAAGATGGTAAAGCAGGACCAGTACTGCACAGAGGAGCTGTTTAGAGGAGAAGGAAATATTAAAAAAAAAATACTGTGTTGGTTTAGTCGTGATTGATTTGAGTGTTTGCAGAAGAAGTGTGTATTTAGGATTGAGGGGAGTGAAGTGGGTGCCTGGAATTGTTGCATTTAGGATTAAAGTTACGGTTATATAACAGTAGAAACTTAGTGAGGCGTAGTGCATTTCACATTTGCACAAATTTTCCTCTCTGTTTCTGGTTAATGGTTATCCTTTGTGTAGCTATGTATTGAAGTATAACTTTGGTAAATCATTATCTTTTTACTTTGAAGGAATTAGTGGCCTCTTATGTTTTGAAGATGCTTGTGCTTTTCTGTCCTGAGATGGGGAGATAAATGGGAATACTGTAAGCATTAAGAGTATGCTATCTGAACAGTTTAAACTTAGGCCACAGTCTAAAACTTTCTGACTGCAAAGGAGGGAAACTTGAACTAGGGAAGGAATTTGAAGTAGGAATTGGAGTGTTTACTTATTTTTAAAAGAAACTTATGCTTTGATAGCAGAATTAAGCCATTTTTCAGATGATTTATTACTCTCCTGCCACAGTGTCTCATCCTGTTCTTTTGCTTACTGTGTTTTTCCTACAGGGTCAGCCACTGGTCTGTTTCACAGCTGGCACAGAACTAGGGCTGATGCTGCATGGCAGCAAGTGCTCAGGAAGGAGGTGGCTGAGTGACTGTGTGCTTCAGTGCATCCCCAGTCACTGGAGAGATTGTGTTGCAGTCATGATCTGGAGCTTGTGTATTGGTCAACCTCAGTCATGAGAAGTGATTCTCTCTTAATATCTAGGGTATGAAAGTCTAGCCAGGTGAAGGAAACTTAAAATCATTTGTTTTTCCACAATAAGCCTGCCAACCAGTTTGTGTGAGGTAAGAAGGAGTGGGAGCAAACAGCTCATTAGTTAGAATCATAGAACATCTGAAGTTGGAAGGGACCCGTAAGTTGCCCATGTGCATATATTTCCTTTGCAGGGAACTTCAGTTGTCTGAGATGCGTTATCTTCAAGTTAGAGAAGGTCGGTTATCTGAGGAGGAAGAAAATACACCTGGGCAGTTAACAAAGTAGTTTATTTGTGTGTTTATATCTAAGGTTATCTCTTTTCACTTTTAACCTTTTAAAGAAGAAAGAATTGGGAAAAACAAAAAAGTTACAAGTGATAGTGTTACAAAGGAAGACTCCAAAAACAACTATGCAAGAGATCTGAACAATGATTTAATGGTATGAACTTCTGCCTTATTTCACTGGAATGAACTTTGATTGAAACTTTACATGTCAATATTAGTTTTTTACTGCTCATTAAACTACATGTTGTTTTTGTTTGTTTTAAAGTAAATACCTTTAAGGCTTACAGTGGCTTTGGCCTACCTACTAGAAGTGGGTCAGTAATACATAAATCATCAAAATCACTATCCAAACACGCTCATAGTAGTTTAAAGCAAATCATAATTTAAATTATTTATTAACAATACATAATTAACCAGCAGTCAATGAATTATATAGCTGTGATCAGTATCAGCAACATGATAAATCACAACACTAGACATACGCAGAATGTTGATACATCACCGAAAACGTTAAAATGCCTGTTTGTAGTCCTCACAAGTTCTAATCACAATCAATATGTATGCCTTCCCCCCTCACCTCTGCCAAAGCAGTGTACGTTATAAGCACACCTTGTCTCTTCTGCCTTTTTTATACTTCCATTTGAGCTGCTTTAAGACTCTCTGCTATTTTCTGGCTACTCTTACAGCTAATTGTCATCATCATCTTCAGTGTGATGAATATTGAGAAACTGTATCAGACAGTTTTGGGTGCACGCTTTACACGTAGCATCTGTACTTGCATTGCTGTCCTAACAGCTGTTGTCTAGGCTGTTTTACTAAGGGTGTGTTGTGCAGCCTTTTCCTCCCTGCAAAAATGTACCATTGTACCATGCAAGGTCCACCCCCCAAAAGTCACTAAGACTTGGGCTAAAATCTGAATTTAGTATTTGTGAGCATGTTCTTGTGTCATGATAAATGCACTGTAGTTTTTCACCTATATGTCTAGATAAGTGATTGGCATCTTTTAGATGTTGTGTGAACACTGAGAGTTTCTATTATTAAATGCCAATAATAACCAGAAACGTTGAACTTCATTGTAGTGTTCTGTCACTTCGGAAGTGTTACCAGGAGGTGGTTATGTCAGACCTTGTCAGTGAATGTCGAAGCTTAAGCTCAACCTCCTTGTGCTGACAGCCTGAATTTTCATAGCCATAATTTCCTTTTTTGTTTCCTTTTGCAAGACTACTCTGCACCAAGTCTTTTTTTAGAAGCCATATGAGTTGACTAAACATAGGTCAGTCAGGCATTGGCTTATTTACCTACAGCCATTAAAATGCAAAAGACCTGTACGCGCTTGATGACTCCTCGGTCTTGAAAGACTTCAGTCTGATCATCAAACGATCAGCATGCTTGTACTGTTTGTGCACTGAATCACTTGGGATCACGTATCCATGAATGTTTTGGTCTTACAGAAAGTTGTTCTTTAAAATAAAGAACAAGTTGCTAGTGTTGCTGAGAGAGGAAATAGCTTTTAAAAACTCTAAAATAGAGCTTAGTAAATTTAGGAGACTGTCAGTACACTCAGAGTATTGCATTCAGTGTAGCTGCTTTGCGTACTGTTTTGGAGAAGTGGGATGTCTGGTGAGAATGATTGGCTGGGAAAAGTAGCTTGTGTTGTTTGTTGGGAGGCAACAGGGGAAGGAGAGAGTGTAGAACTTCCTTCTTATATAGCTCCTTCCGTACCAAGTTATTTGACGTTCTGGTTACTATCAGCAGAAACCTTATGGGTTAGATGTGGTGTAAATGAAGCATGTAGCAAGTAATAAAAGCGTAGCAGTCTTCTCACTCTTCAGAGATCATGTCTGAAGTGTCTTCTGCTTATGTGTGTTCCTGAATGTAGATCTTTCATTGCTGAGATTCATCAGTGCTGAGCTAACAAGAGGTTACTTCCTTGAACACAATGAAGCAAAATATACAGAGCGGAGAGAGAGAGTATACACGTGCATGCGGATACCAAAAGAACTGGAAAAGGTGAAGTATACTTTAAGATTTAATTCAAAGATTAAATCAGTTGTGTTAAATTATTTAGAGAAATACTTACTTTTTCAAACACTTTTGCTACTAAAAAAGCTTTAAACATTTATACTAGTGAATTTTTAGTGTCAGTAACTTAATTTGTGTTTCAGGTTTTTTTTGCCTATGTTTGCTTGTTGCTGCTGGCAACTCTTGGCCACTTGTTGATGTTATTAGCAGAGATGGACATGACTAACTTTCAAGTTTAGATGATGACAAATTAATTCGAATATAAAGATGTCACTGATCCTTAAAAGAATAGTCAAGCAAAAGAAAAGCTTTTACTGCAAAATGTAATTTTACATGAAAAAAAAAGTTTCAAAAATCTTTCCAGTCTAAAGTGTTTTCAGGGTGGGAAGATTTCAGTCATTTAAAAATGCAGAGATGAATGAGTTTGTCTAACATTTTTTACTTAATTTTCATAGCCTTCTATTTTGCTTTTTGCCACTGTTTACCACATCTTCCCTCTCTGTCCCAGTGCTATGGCCCTTCCTGAGACATTCCTGCCACCTCCTTTATGTCAGCTTAGGTATAACTCTGGCCCTGCAGTGAGCTAATTCTGGTACTGTAATGTAGAAGAGAGTTTTATTCTGGCTTAACCATTTTGACACCCTGTAGGAGAGGGTGTCATATTTGGGAGGCAGCAGGAACATGCTCAAGGATGAGGAGTAAGGCAACATTGGTAATAGGGTTTGGCTAGGCTGCAGTGTAACAATAACATTAGAAGTAACATTGCTAAAATTCTGACAACCTCTAGGGATGAAGTTATGTGGTAGAGCTAAATCAATTTAACCCTAATTTATATTGAAGCAAGAGTCTTTTTTTCACTGTTCCTCCCATTTGAGTCTCATCCCTTATGCACGCTGCCATTTTGCATGAGCCGTGGTGCTTGTTGGACTGTTCTGAGAGTTAAATCAGCTCATAATTTGGCAGTGAATGCTTCACTTTTCTTGATCTGTTTGTTCTTTGCTAGGATAGCGAGTTGAGTTGCTCAGCCAATATTCTTGAGAATCCAGAGCATACACAAGGGCGGAAGGGGAGCTTCGAGTAGGGGTGGAAAGATGAAAGAGCAGGGAGGAAGGGAGGGTAGGATTCCCTTCGTCAGCAGCAGTCAGGTTCCCCCCTTAGTATCATTAAATGCATCCTTAGACCATGATGAGACCTGGTTTTACAAAACTGAATTCCCAGTCAGTTACTGCAGAAAATCACAGTGTGGATGAGATTGGGATGGACCTCTGGTGATGATGTAGTCCAAGCCCTTGCTTGAAGCTGCATCACGTACATACAGCAGGTTGCTCAGGACTAGATCCAGTTGGGCTTTGAACATCTTCATGTCCTCACTGTTTACCCATTCCAGTTTACGGTAGAATATTCCAGTTAGGGTAGAGTCTCAGTTGAACAGTATAGCAGTTCTACATGATCTCCATTGTAATTATGTAAACTATTACGTGCCATCTTCAAGCCACAGAAATTATTCTGAAGGATCATCATAGATTTCCAATAAAACTTTCAGTATGTAAGAACAAGTGAAGGCCAACAGTCTTTAATGTTTTTTTTTTGGATGGTAAATCAAAGTTTGGTCTGTACTTTGAATATGAAAGAATATGAAACTGAGCAATAAGCAGATAGATTTTAAAAGTGATAGTTACTTTTTTACAGAGAGCTTATGAAATAAATTTGTTACTTCTTTGCATGGGCTTAGTCTGTGTTAGTATAGATACTGGGTATATCAAATGGAATCATACTAGTTGAAAAAATTGAAAAAGTATGATGATGAGCACCTGGAAAGCAAACTAAATAGTGTACAGATCATTGCCTATTGCAGAAACCACTTGACTGCGTGATTCAAAAGTCTACTTTCAATTAAGCAAATGGAAATAAAGCATGTGAGACACTAGGAAAGGAAGAGAAGGATTTTCTTAATGGCTTGTATCATTTACTACCTAATAATGTAATTACAGACTAGGAATGAAAATCATAATCGAGTAGAGTGAGAATAAACTGGAATAAATTTATCAAAGCCTGATCTCAGGAGATACTATTTAACATGCACTTATTACATGTACATAATTCTAGGGTGGGCTGTGATGTTAAAAGGGTAGTATTTTTGTTGTTGTTCTGAATACCCCTTTTTTATTTAGAGAAGTCGGATAATTTGTAATATAAACGCTGTTCCCACTCAAGCTTTTTGTGCAGTTTCAGTGCAAACTCCATTGTGATAGGTTATCTCTACTAAATGACAAGGTGGTCTCTGTTCCTGCTATCTTAACCTTGTACTTGTCTGTTGATCTCAATATTAAACTTTACGCTCTTTTGCTTTTGCACAGGTCACCGTATATATACCAGCCCAGAGCCCATTACCCCTGTATTTTCTCCTCTGAACTTTGCAGAGGAGGTACTCTCCACTATTAATACCATATTTGCCATAGAACATGCAGATTCTGCCATTTTAATTACTGTGCTTAGCCACTGGTACTTTGCGGGCCAATGCCATGATGGAATAGGGCTACCTGATTTGTGGCTTCCCTAAGGAAACCAAGACAACAAAGCACTGGCGCATAGTAATGTCCTTTCCTGTATTGGCATCAGCACATAATTCAGGCATGGATAAAGCACTCTGGGCATTCTAGCATCAGATATTTGTGGGTGCAAGAACAAACAAGGTACCACTGCCCACATTTAAATCTGATTTAAGGAATTGGTATTTCATGAATTCTTTCCAGATCAGTATGAACAGCCAGTTATGATGACGGAAAAGCTCTATAAGCTTTTCCGTTAGTTCCTCAGTATCTGGAATGTAGCAGCAAAAATAACGTTTACAGAAATGAAAGGAAGTTGCAGTGCTGATTATATTTCAATGGGTGCATGTAAGTGTGCAAGCGCAATGTAGTAAAAAATTAGGAAAATGGGGACATTAAACAATAATTGCAAATAATAATGCAAGCTTATAGAATGTGAAAAACCATGATTACACTCAGGTAGAGAAAAAGTCTATCTGAATAAAAAAGGAAGTGCAGACTTGTTTTCTAGACTGTAAAGACGCCCTCAAAGAATACAGGGGCAAAATGACAGGCTATCTTTCTATTTTGGTTGGGTTAAAGAGTTGAAAAAACCCAACCAACCAAACAAGGAAGATGCATGTTTGGCTCCAGACATTTTCAGTACTTGGATATTCAGCATCTGGTTTAAAAATTAGCAAAGAAATAGGTAGCTTAATGGCATATTAAAATGCAATGCATAAATTCATCCTTTAATTATAACCACTGCTCCTGATAATTTTGAATGATTCTGCTGAAATTTTAGAAAATGGTACTAAAGGTGAATGAGTGAATATCTGGGAGGAGACCTTAATGTCATGATGGTATTGAAGTACAGAGTGCAGAATTGGTAGAAATAGTGTTACAAGGGCAAGCAACAACTCAGAGATGATAGCAGTGCTCTTATGCCTGAGTTAGTCATCTTATGTGGCTTGCAGATAGATGTACTGGAGTGTCCTCTGTAGGATTGCTTTCAAAGTTACAAGGATGCATGAGGAGTAAGAATGAGGAGAGAAAGGGACATATCAGGGATATCAGCTCGTTGGCTGTTGAACTGGCTGTTGCACAAGCTGGCAAAGAAGGTATTTTGTAAGGCAGAGAGACTGGGAGATAAAAGTAATTTACTTGTGCTCTGGTTTACTTTTTCTTCTTCCAAACCAGTGTCATCTTTTCCCATCAACAGTACATACAACTTTACATGTGAATGTGTATCTGTCATGGATATCTAGGCCTGCTTAGACGTTGCTAGTCTTCATTGTGTAGCCAGTTAAGCTTCCCTTTTTACGTGATTTTCCTTTCAGGAAAACACACTAGCTTCTGATCTGACAGAAGCATAAAAGCATATGCCTCGAGTCCCATGCAGGTAAATCTTGGATACGTTCAAAGAGCAGATAAAGAAGGAATAACATGTGGGGAGAGTCTGGTATATAAAAGCTTTCTAATTGCGGAGTTTAGGTCTAGTTTGATTATCATAGAGTTGCTTGGCTTGTGGCTATAGTGAAATTTAACTGTTTCTGTAAATCAAGGATAAAGCATTTAAACTGAGGGCACCTGGAAGTTTACCTCTTCATATTTTATATTATTCTTTGTATGAAAAAGGTGGATATTCTCTGAAAGAGAGCTACCACAGCTGTAATTAGCTGTGCAATAGAAAACTAACAAGGTTAAAAAAATATATTGGGGGGGGGGGGAACATATTAAAAAGGATGTAGCAGAGAATGTCTGTGTACATGTATGCCCAGCTCTACACTTTTTCCAAGGTTAAAAACATTTTTTGTAACCTTAGAGGATAGTCGGCATTGGAAAATGAGCTACAGTTATATCCAAGTGCAATTCATCTATTCAATAAAGTCAGAGTTTGGTGAGCCATGGAAGTGTGCAAAAGCCTTTGCTGCTTGGACCTTGTGGTGCAGAACTTTTGCTGAGTAGTCTTCCAAGTGCACAGCATGTTATTTTTCTAACAGTTCAGCTAATTGAACAAGAGAGTGTGTTGTGCTTATTTGGTTAATTAGTCTTATGTAAATGTATTTTTCATAATATAATTCTTTATGAACTTTTTGTAACTCTTATAAACTACTAACATACTTCTGTTTTATTTTTGTAATTTAGTTGATGTTTTTTGGAATCTTTTTGTGCCTGGATGCTTTTCTGTATGTGTTCACCCTGCTTCCTTTGAGAGTTTTTCTGGCAATGTTCCGGTTCATCACTTTGCCTTGCTATGGCTTACGGTAAGTTGATTGAAGAGAACGATGTTGACACCCTTAAATAATGTTTCTCTATTTATGCGTGTGCTTAATTTTGTGGCCTTTCAGTGCTGTTTGAATTACTAGTGACTTCTTCCACTGTAAAATAGAAGGTTTGTTCTAAACTAGCCAAAGCAAAGGTGTGCGTGGGACCTTTAAGCTTTGCCACCAGTCACTAACTGTCATTGTTGTTTCCTTCAGACACAACAGTTTGATAACAGCACCACTTAGGCATATTCAGGTTAGTAAAGGACAGAGATGTAACTTTACCCTATAGTTTTGTTCTTTTAACTAACATTTATTTGAACAGTGCTTTAAGATTTCTTAGACTTGAGTTAATGACTTGGCTCATGTCTTTTGATAGACTCTTTGATAGTCAACCAAAGTTTGTTTTTTTTTTTATTTTTTTCCCCCACAGCAAAGGTTTTCATTATTTCCATGGTAAACTTGGCCCAAAGGATCCTTGTGTAAAATGTGTTATTTTCTTTCCCTCAAAGAATCAGAGAGAGTAATTGGATGAGACTAACTAATCAGAATAATATTAAGAAATTTTAGATCTTAACCACTTGCTTTTTTGTTCAGATCAATACTAAGAAGAAGTTGCTTAATACACAGGATATTTAGTTTGCCTTTCCGGCTTAGGCATCTTCATAAAAGTTGCTACTTCATGGTAAAGCTGATTATATAAGACCTAAGCATAGGGATATTTATATTGATGATGTGATTTTTCCTTGAATAAATAAAGACTTCAGCATTTTCATTCTGGATTTCCCCAAACTTGAAGTTGATTTATGATATCTGATTGTTTTTTTTTGTTTTGTTTTGTTTTTTTTTTTGTTTCAGGCATTTGCATTATTAATAGTCCTTTATATGTGAAGTGCTTTTAGATGCATAGTTTAGAATGTATGTTCTGATTAGAGCAACTGTTAGTCTAGTTGCATAAGAAATAATATTTTAAAGTATATTAAGTTGAAATGTTTGATGCTTAACATAGGCACTAGGTGGCAGTCTCTAATATCTTATTGTGCTGATAATTTTGAGCTGATGAGATCTCAGATTTTCATTATGTTAAGAGAATTTTCCTAGCTGTGTAAAAAAAAAAAAAAATAAAAAAAAAATGTGATGACTGTTCAGTTTTAACCTGATGACAAGTCAAATTATGTGCCTACCTATACGGATGCTATTGCCAAAATATTAAAATTTGGGTAAATGCAATGGATTTTAACCTATCATGTGCATCTTGCTACTTTTTTCTGTTTAAAAAGTATACTTCCTTGTTTATAGATTCAGCTTTGCTTTTGACAAACAATTTTTCTGCTCTTCTGAAATTATAATTAAAAATGAAAGACCAGTTGCTGATTCTGCATGGTGTTCAGTATACTGAAGAAAGCAACATTGAAAATACCGTATACATTCATACATGTGTGTATATATGTACACGCACTTGCAATGTTAAAACTTAGTCTGTTTACTTGACAGTACTTTTAGTGCGTGAGGCAGGATAAAATCCAGTTTAATCTATTCAGCTCGATATGTTAACTTTAAAGTTTTATCAGGTAAGATGCAGTGAAATGGAGATTATCATGAGCAAAAAAGGCTTTGTTTTTGTAATGACTCCTGAAGCAATTTCTTCTGTCAGTTTCCTCAGATGTTTAGGGAACTTATTTCCCTAGAATCTCTTTACTTCTTTACTGCTTTAGGCTTTGTCTAATTCATTAATGTTTTAAAGTTGGTGTCTTTTTATTGAAAGGTTCATGATTCATATTTATAGTATATAATAGAACTTTTTCAGATGTAATGATTCTTATTTCCAAATATTCATAGCCTGCACTTTGCTTTTGGGGGTTTTTTGTTGTTTTTCTAGTTATGCTGATTTGATTGGTTATGGTAAAAAAGATTTGGCATCTTATTTTATAATATGAAATATATTTTTATGTGTTTGTGATAAAATAGAGTTCAATAGGTAGAACATATCTGTAATTACAAAAGGTACTTACAAAGCAGGTGGCTGTTTATCTTTTAGCTTGCCTTTCCTCACTAAAGTCAAGTAAGCGTTGAGACATGACTAGTTGTTCTTAGAACCTGCCACATCATATTCCATTCTGTGTAGTAAATAAAAGTGCTCCTCCCTTCATCTTGACTTTTTTCTCAACATCTCAGTGAAGAGATAGAGCAGCGAGTGTTCTGTCTCCCTTCTAGTTTACACTTCAGATCATTTATTTCCTCATAACTCTTTCTGCTCTTTTCAGTATACAAAAAGGTTATATTACCAATGATCTCTTTAAAACAATAAAAACATGCTATGTAAGATGGGCTAATTCCTGTCTATGGTATTGTGTGCAGTGCTTAAATGTAGGGAGAGTGCTTTATAGCCTCTTCCACGTTTTAATATTCCATCTTACAGAGCTCGGAAAGGGAACAGAGTACTGTGTCTTCAATAAACTTGTTTCCTTTTTCTGCCTAGGCAGTGTAAGTGCCTCAGTTTGACTGCGAAGTTATCATTTTGAGTAAATTTACTTCTGTGTATTTGTCAGAGCTATATTGGTGTTAACACAGCTATTGTAGAGAGACTCTAAAACTTTGAAAACTTCAGTCAGAAGAATCCAACATTCTGTTGTTAAGTAAACTAAACTGCTGGTTAGTAGCAAACAAACCGGCAGTGGCTGAATCATCAGATTGTGGTGGTTTTGGCAGATGCAACTTCATTACTAAATAAATAAGTAAATATTAGGATGCTCTTTAAAAAATCAACAAACGCTTCACAAAATTAAATTGCATCTTCTGAAATTACAAAAAAAAAAAAATTGGCTATGCTGTATTTTCTTCCAAGTGATGGAAAGATTTTTCCTTAATTATTCTCTTCGAATAATTTTATTAAAATATTCTTTGACAACATAAAAGCACATACTTTGCTGGAACAGCAAATCTAAGGTAGAGAGAAGTGGACCCTGATGCAGTTCTCTTCAGAATTACAGTCTGTGATGATAGGTTCCTGAAACTAACTCTACCTGTGGTTGAAGAGTACAGTTTCCTTTTACAATTCAGATACGTTTTTTTATTAATACCTCAGACGGAGATTCTGTGCAGATTAATATCCCTGCTTATTTTGAAACCCTTTTATAGAGCTAACTTTTTGTTTTTCTTGAAAATAATGTTGCACACCAATAAAAGCTCTTATGGGAATGTGGAAAAGCTCTGTTGTGTTGTTGGAAAAACACCATCATATGAAAGCTAAAATTGTATCTTGGTGAAACTCTGATGGGACTCTCAATGTAATGACGCTTAAAGGCATTTTATATCTTGTCCACAAAGCCAGTAAGGACTTCTAATGGAAAGTGAGACCTTTTTTTTTTTATTTGATTTTTTTTTCCCCAAATTCTAGTTTTCTCAAGAAAGAAGTAGATTATGAATTTTCTTACATGTGAAGATTGATTGACAAGATCTTTACGTTTTTTCCATGTGGAAATAGATATAGATTAGAAATATGTATTCTGTGTTTTTCTTTTACTCTGCTCTCTTCTCCCTGAAATAAGTGAATTTAGGTCCTGTCAGCAATAATGTCATTAACTTCAGTTGTCTTATATGTACCTCTTAAAATTCCCATTGCTGTCCTGTGAAATCATAGATTTATCCTTTTGAGTAGGAAATAAATAGAACAGCATTACTTCAAGAAAGACACTGTAGGAAGAAAGCATCTCGGGGAAAAAAAACCCAAATGGACATTATTTCTTTGTTCCTATTTTCAGGTTATTAAATAAATTTGAACCTCTGTTGCACACTTATTCCCAAGCCTTTTTTTTTTTAATTATTGCTAAGGACTATAGCTGTTAAATACATAAACTACCTATTTTCTGGTTTAGTTCATTGAGAAAGTAGTGTCCCTGTCCACCAAAATGTGTGGCTTTCTGCCAACCGGGAAAAGAAGGCAGTATTTTCTGTAGTAAACTCTCAGATCAAGTACTCCTTTCTCCTTTCCATAACAGTGCGTAGTGTAGCAACATTACAACCTTCTCTTTCTTTCTTTCTTGTAAATCAGACCGAAGGGAAGAGCACTTTCACTTCCTTTATAGGATGGAATGTGGTGTCACAGGGATTCCTCCTTGGTGAGTAAATCCTGATTTTCTTTTTCATTCTGTGCTGTCAGCCAAATTCACACGTCTACATGTAATCAGTAAAAAGACTGATTACAAATGAATAGTATAGCTAAATTAGCCAACATACTTCAAAGGAGAAACCAAGGCTTAGTTTTAGTAACCAACACATGAAACTGATTCAGTGCTGTTTATGGTAGGTATATTTCCATGTGTAACTTTGCATCACTGTGGAAATAGCTTGTGAACTTAATAGATTTAAAACATTTTTTACATAGAGTGCCTGTGGACCAGTTCAGCCCAATTTAAAATAGGGTATCTTGGAAAAACTGTAGCCCCTGCTGTACTTAGTTTACAGTGCCTTAAGCTTTTTTATGTTAATTCTAAGTAACGCTTCAGTCAGGTTCATAGCTCTATTTTTGTGTGTACTTTAAGCAGGTTTTTTGTAATGCTTAACATAATTTTTGAGGGGTTCTGAAAGTTCATTGTCAGGTCTCTTAGTATTAGACTTGAAGTTGATTCTCTGCATAGTAAAATACAGCACTTTAGTATGAACTTTATGTTCATTTACTGACTTCAATTGTAGTTGATTCTGTTACCAGAAAAATAAAAACTTAGTGCAAGCTAATTCTAGTTGTCAATTATTTGAAACCTCTTTTTTTTTTTTATTTATTTTGAGACAGCTCTCATCGGGGCCTAACAGCAAGGTTGGTTTTGTTTCATTCTTAGCATGGTCTCGTGCTGTGTCGTGTGCATGTTGAGCCTTTTCATTGTTTGCGAAATGAAATGCCATCTAATATTGGCAAACTTAGCTCTCTGTATCTTAGAATTCTTCATTTGGGGCATATTTTTATCAGCACTTAGTCTATGTATCTAACAATTTTACAACAGTGAAGCCTTGCATACTGTAAACTGTATCTCTTTCTAAAGTCTCAAACTGGATATTAGACTTGATCGAAATAGCTTTTGTTCCTGAAGCCAAACTTGATTCCAAACTTGAGTGTAATTGTAGGAGAATATTTCCAATAGATCACTTCACGCATTTTAAAGACTCTTAGTGCATAGCTATATGGGCAAGTATGCCCTTCAGACAAACTTGCTTGGGTTTTGTTTTCCCTGATATCTTTACTTAGTATGCTAACAGCAAAACATCCCCTGATGTGTTAATCTGATCATTCTAGTTAGTGCTTCATATAAGATTAGAAACTTAAAATACCACAGTTAATTAATGAAGGTTTAAGACTTTGATCAGGACTAAATATCTACATGTAAAACAAAATCCTGCAGTTCGGTTTCCATACAAGTATCTGTGATGTAAAAATGGAAAAAGAAAAGATACCTAAACAGGACCTAACTAGATCACCATTTCAATAACTGAAATAGCTTATTAATTAATATAAACCTCTGTTAGTCTAATTATTTCAAAGTGTTGATATTGAATAAGTAATACTGTTAGAAAAGATTCACCTCAAAATATTTGCTCCAACTTGTAATGTCAGTGCTAAAACACTTCTTCAGTGCATTATTAGCCAGCCAATTAGCCTATATAAATGAAAAACGTTTTTTAATAGTGTGAAGTACAATAACATTTCTAGAAATAATATTGTTATCTTAAGACCTTATAAATGTATATATATGCAGGTGGTTAAGTTTTATTAAGATTAAAATATCCATCTAAAGCTTTACTGCAATGATAGTGTATTTATATCTTCAAATTACTGTATCTGTGACATCAGTATTTGAAATTTTGTCTGTGCTAACTATGAAGGAATAATTGTTTAGGTAATCTGAATTATTTGGATGAGACTGTACTAAAGGAATCAATTAAAAATAAAGTAAACTAAAATTAAACAAGAAAAATGTATTCAATTCCTGTTGGTTTAGAAAACAACCCAACAAACCAATCAAAACTAAACAACTCTACAAGGTGACTGGAAAACCTTACTTAATCAAACTAGTGAAGAATTTAGGAGCACCAGAAATCCGGAAAGACAAAAGTAAAGAAATTGTGTGATAACTTATGGCAGTCTGTGCAGTGTTAAGTTTAAAATAGTATATGCAGAGTGCTTATGCATCAGATGCTGAAGTAATTAAGTACTCAGTGTCTACAGATCTGCAAAATGGACACGTTTTTGCTGTATTGTATATGACAGTGCTGAAAAGCATACCGTAGATGACTGTAGTGAGGTGGTTTTTTTAGATTTTTTCATACAGTAAGAACAAATTCCTGTTTGTCCTGGGGTGCATTTTATGTTTCAAATTATTTAACCACTTTAAATTCAATAAGCGAGGGTTATTAAAACACTTCACACCCAATAGTGGGTTTTTTTGAGTGTCAGTCTCTTAAGCAAACTCGTGCATTAGCTACTTGTGATTTGGAATATATTAAAGCCAAATATCAGTAAACTGTGATTTATTTTTACTAATGCTCTACTTAATGCTAAGTAACTTAGTTGTACAGCTGTTGGAACAAAAAAAGGTAGTGGTGGTAGATGCCGATACACTGAAAGCCTTGAGCTGGTTTGCTTCTTTAATAACTTAAAGGAAAACTACTGTGAAATCCAACGTGCTGTTCAGTTGAAAGAGTCTCAAACATTATATATCAGTAGCACGACCATTTATATGGTCATATCCTTTATGAATGATTTAACCTAATACTTTTCAACCAGTAGATGGAGACAGAACTCTTATTACTATGTGGAATGTGGATCGTGGCCTTTAGAGTAACCTATGAAATAGACATACTTTGAAAATGACAGTCAGGTAACCAGTTCCTTAACTTTCACTTGTCTAAGGAGATACTTATGACGAACACTGTTTTTCACACCAAATTTTTCTTCACTGGGTCGCTATTTTATTTATCTCTTAAAATAAGTTTGACTCTTAATTTTGTAACACTTACAGTGAATTTTCTTACACGTCACAAGTAATCATGAAAATAATTTAGATTTTCTTTTTTTTTGTTCCTAAAATGTATAGAACAAACTTGTGGGTAGCCAGAATATTTGGTGGTATTTTAATTTAATTCTGTAGACTAGCAAGGTAACTCTTCCTAACTGTTTATAAGGAAAGTTGCTTGTTTTTAGCTTTCTAAAGGAAAATACATATACAGATGAAGAATAAGCATTAAACCTTGAGCTTATGAATAGTATTGAAAAAAATAATTAACAGACGGGTTTTCTGAATTCCTGGTTTTTGGTTGATATCAGTCGGTGGCACTGAATAAATTTTGCTGTAGTTTCACTTTCAGCTGCCTCAGACACCGCATGATAAGCATTGAGCTTGGCATGCTTTTCCTTTTGTTAATTGACTGGGCTGAAACAGAAACATGCTGTGGTGGAATAGGGTGGTATAGTAGGAAGGCTTGCACATCACTTTCTTATATTAACATTAATAATAAGCTTGTATATCCCCCTAAGCATGCATTTGTATAATGATATTATTTGGAGCCACAAGGGTTTATTTCAGTGGAGATTTTTCTGTCAATTAGTAGACATAATGGTAAATGTACCCAAAAGCTGAGGAGTTTGAACATCTTGGTAGGTACATACTGTAGCATATTGAAGTCCCTGCGCGTGTTTTTCTGTGGTGTCTTAATTTGCTAGCTAGCGTTACAGTGTGAGAGAGACTATCTGTAGAGGAATGCTTGGATTTTCACTTTGAATTCATGCATGTTGAGGGATCATCTCATGTTTAAACAGCTTAGTGTATTCAGTGGTGGTAATAGTAAATCAATACAAGATTTTATGTAGCAGGTAATAGAAAGAATGGATAAGCCTTACGCTTTACTATTAAGATGTTTGAAGTTGTTTAGTTTAAAAAATTTGAGGCTTTGGTGGTCTGTACAGCTAAACACGGGAGCTCGAGGCTTAGCATAATGAAACCACTTGTAAAATTCTGTAAAGAGCGTTTTGGAGAACATGACTTATAGCCGAAATGTTAGAAGTAATAATGAAATAACGGCAGAAAGTAATTAGGTGAAAAGACAGACATCATGTATCTTAACAAGGCACGTTTGAAGGACAGCCCAGATGTCCTGAACACATGTATTTACTGGCTTATGAGATGTGAAAGTTGTAATTTAAATTATATTCAGCTGTGTAATCAGCCAAATTGTGAAACAATTCATGTAACTTTATTTCTGGAATCCAGTCGGAAATGAGAGGAACTGCATCTTGGACAAAGGCTCTCATGATACTATCTTTTAAGAGCGGAGTTCACTAAAGCTGGGAAAGTGTTAATATTTAATTCACTTCTGCAGCATCACTGTATGTGTGGGATAGCTTTGAAGGAGAAGACCAACTGATTTCTGTAGAAAGATTCTACTGCTTGCTGTTTTGTAACCAGAATGATTAAATATAAAGATTGTTATGCTCTTTATTTATTGTTCTTCTTTTCTCATTCATGAGTAAAAACACCCATAACAAATTTTCATATGAAATCTTTCCCTCTGTATTGTCAACTGTAAAAATACAGTCTTTTGAAATGACTTAAGCTGTTTCAACTTCTCATATCTCTGTTCATTGGTTTCTAGAGTTGTACAGTAGCTCAGTATTGTCTAGTTCTTCCCTCTTAGCTCCCTACTTTCAAATGAGATATTGAAAGTATTATCGGCACTATGCTATGTATTTCTTGTTTGTTTCTTTACCTTTGTTTAGTTGTCATAGCTTGGCTGATTACCAGCTTTTTTCTTTGTTTTTTTGACATTCTGTAGTATTCATGGTGTGGATGAATAAAGCATTATGAATTTGTATGTGACATTAATCATGAGGTCAGATTACTTAGTGCCCAAGATTGTTCTGAAGTTACTTTCCACGGTTGGCACTGAGTAGTTACTGGAGACAATAAGTAGAAACATATGTTGAGAAAAGTGAATGCAGAAAACTTAATGTGTGTAATGGGTGGGCTGAGACTTTTTATGACAGGCATAAAATCACATCAACCTCTGTGTGTTCATATGTATTACACAGTTTAATGTGAAGGATAGGAATGATTTGTGACAAATACAGATTAAACCAATGTGAGCCTGATCATATACTAAAAACTGCAGTGTTTGATTCTCACTGAACACTGACTACATCATTTCATAACTGCAAGCTTTGCAGTTAATTCTGTATATTTGCCAAAAGGTGAGAAATCATTAGACTTAATCCATTTACTTGATTTCCTTGACTTTGTAGGAAATAATTATCCCCATCCCATATTATATTCAGAGCCACACCTCAAAATCCTTTTGTAAATGTTATTAGCCAGAGTGGAAGAGGATTCTGCTCCAATAGAAGTGCATCTGTGTATTTATGTAGTAGTCACAGTTAATCTCTTTCAATCAGATACGTGGTAGTTGTAGACGATAGATTACTTGTCTAGTCGATATGAAGGGGTCTTTCTTAGTGTTCAATGAAAGAACACTGGAATATATTTGAAATGCCAGGATCTTTTCACTTTATAGAAAGCAGTTTTCTGTAGTCAGCCTTTGCAGTAATCCCTTGTACTGACGAGGGGTTAGAGGTGCTGAGAGCTCTTCTGTCATCAAACTGAGTAAATTGAAACTGCGAGGATATTTTTGTGACTTCTTTTAAACATCTGTTTGAAAGAAATTGTCACATCTCATGTGGATGAGAAGTAGAAGAACTACTTTGAATAGAACATTAATAGAGTGTATTTTTAGTTAAAACTTCAGGGGGAAAATGGAGTGTTTACTGCAGTTTTTTCAAGATATACAGACTACTGAAACTGAATCCAAGTCACTTTGAGAGATAAAATTCTCTAAAAACATTATTTGAATGTACTCTATTCTACAAAAGCTTAATTTTTTTAAGGCATAGCCACCAAGTGTAGTTGATCTGACCCTTTTGGGCAGCCTTTGTATTGGAGCATAGTGATACTCAGTTTGTTCTGTACAGAGTGCATTCTCAAAATACTTCACCTTTCCAGTGTATGGGATGCTGTGTGCAAGTTTGGATGCACCTTTGTATGGCATTATTCTCCTGAGTTAGTTTTCAGAGTTGAGACCACTTTTAGAAGAGCACTTGTGCTCTTGGTTGTGTGTAGTGTTCATAGGGTTTGGATTTCCCTGTGATGGTTGCTATCTGCTTTTACATTGGCTTCTCCTGAGTCGGTTTTACTGAAGCGAGTGGAGTCATACTGATGAAAATCAACACAAGCAGAAGAGCGATAGGGTTAACAGTACAGAATAACTACAGCCTGTGATTGTGCTGGTGGTTGAGCATCTTTGATGTTATTTGTAAGCCAGAAAACCTTTAACATGGTAATTTTCAGTCTGTGTTAATTCATGGACGTCAAAGATTTTCTTGTGAGAATCCTTCTGAAGGACTGCTTCAGAAACTTCATAAGCAGGTTCTGTTTACTAGTGAATTTCAACAAAAGACCATACTATTGTAAACATTAGTACCTTGCCATAGTTTTAAAACATAAGTTTTTGAAGTGGGTGTCTCTTTTGCTAGTCGAGTTTTCTCTACCAGGTACTCACTACCTTTCTAATTATAAGATAGGTGATGGCTGGAAGAATGAAGATGCAGGCAAATACTGGATGTGCTGGAAAATAGACATTTGCTGTTTTCTTTAGGTTTGGAAATTGTTGTTTTCAGTTAACTCAGTTGAGGAGGGGGCGGGAAGAAAATTCACTGAGGCTTTTTGTCAAGGACTTAGTCTGAAATAAAATGTGATGTGGTTACTGTTACTGAATGACTTCTGGGAGCAAGACAATGTCGCCTGGGGTGAGAAAGCTACTCTAAGCAGTTCTGGTGTGCGGGACCAGGTTGAATTCTATTATTCAGAATGTAACTAATTTTAATACAACTTATGCAGTGTAAAGTATATAATAAAAGGAGCAGTTGCACTCAGTTCAAAGTGTAATACTGTAAATCTGAGAGTTCTGGAAACATTCTTGCTCATATTTCTAGAATGAGCATCATCTATTTCTGAGTGTTACAATGCATGAATTCTGTCTTAGGGGCTTTATTCTTTTGAGTGGAAGACAACAAAGAAACCCTAAGTATAACACTCTAGCTCTGACGTGTTTAAATTGAATGAGTCACGTAGCTGCAATTTTAACTTGTCTGCAGGGGCTGTAGAATGTCTTGCCTCCCAGAGGTCATAAGTAACTGTTTGGATATTTTTTAAAAGAGCATGAATTTTTATCAACTTACTCTAATTTTTTTCTAAACGTCTTGTGAGTTTATGGAAGCATTTTCTAATCTGTGGATAATGTAGTGATTCAAGAATACAGAAAATGAAAATTCATAACTTTCATTCTGCTGATTGGTTCCGACTTTTGTGAAAGGATAACTTCTGTGAAAGCCTTTCACTATATATTAAAAATACATACATGTAATAGAAATTATTTTTCTATGGTTTTGATATTTTAATCTCAAATAACCTTTTGATTTAATTTGAAAGCTTTCTAAATACTTTGCATCCTGTTAATGCTAAACAAAGTAAATAGACAAGTAAGTACTGCCGTGCAATTTCATTATGCTTATGGCTGCTCTTGTGGGAATTGAGGTAAAGCTATTTTCTTCCTGTAGTTTTAACTTATTGGATGGAATTGTGTAATGATTCATTTAGTCTTCTGGGTTACTTGTGGGACTATAGACAGAAAACTTCTGCATTGGTTCAAGATCAACCTCAAGCTCTGATGTCAAATTGTTTGCATTTACTGCTGTAGAGCTTAGAGCTAAAAGAAGATATGGAATTGCGTTTAGAATCTGTTCCTCAGAATCTGGTTCATTATACTGAAATTGAAGATGACTGCTTCATTTCTTTTTCTTTTGGTTATAGCAAATACAATTTCTGTAACTGAGGAAGTCAAAATGATAAGTAGAATTGGCTGGAAGAGGGAAGGTAAATTAAGAGCCAAAGGGCATGCATGCAGAAGGTTCTTAATAAGCAGGAGCTCTTACCCACCAAATACAGTATATTTTAATTAAATGGATATGACAGATAAGAGAATGTGATCCTGTTCAGGAGTGTGATCTATAAATGTGCGTCATGGCCCTGATGCTCCTTATGTGTTGCAGTGAGGCACAGGGGAAGGGGCACTAATAAACTACATTAAAAATACATCCTTTGTTAACAGCTTCTGTAAATTCCTATTGTTTTGGTAACATTTGCATTTTGTGGGTATATGACACTTAGTGGAACTTTTTACCCTTTGTATTTCAGTGATAGACGTTTGCTACAACCTGCTCAGGTATGTGACATTCTCAAAGGAGTTATATTGGTCATCTGCTACTTCATGATGCACTATGTTGACTACTCTATGATGTATCATCTGATAAGGGGACAGTCTGTCATAAAGCTCTACATCATCTATAACATGCTTGAGGTAAGAATGGTGGCATCAGAATATCAAGCATGCTTTTTTCAGACTATCTAAAATATTGTGGTATTATAGTATTTGTACTTAGAACATGGCACATCTCTTATTCTCACTTATTATCTCTATGATAATAAGCCTAGATGCAGTGAAACAGACAAGTTCATGTAAAATATGTTTTGTGTGTACCGTTTCATATTGCCTGGTTCCTGGAGCTTATTAGTCAATTTAGTTGAATAAAATTTGAGAACTGGAAGTGGAACAAGGAATGTCTTAAACTGAAATGCAAGTAGTGGAATGAATGAGGTTTTGGACTCATTGAGAGAAGTAGAAACTGTTGATTTGAAACAGTGATAAGATCCTGAGAGAGAGCAGAGAAGGAAGATGGTAGAAGACAAGAGATTTGGTTTTTAATTCTTTATTATGGAAATATAGCTTTCGTTGTATGCAAGGACACATGTTGCTGCTTAACCAGTCTCAGTCCTGGCTAGCAGACGAAAGCCTTGAGTACATAAACAGTAAGTTGAATGAATATAGTAAAACAAGAAAAGGAAATTCTGGTTTGGGATGTAAGATAAAGAGAAATTCTGGGGGGAAAAAAACCCTTCGTTTTGTTATTAATGTAAAGCATGAGACTTTTAATTGCACTTCTGTGATCAATGGTTCACAAAGTAAATAATGTTTTCATAGCTACAATCTTATCTCCATCCTGCAAATATAGGACACACTAGGAATACAACCTCTTAAAAGGATGCAGTCAGAGCTTTGTACACAAGAGTTACTCTACTAGGATTCTGGGATCTCTGAGTAACATTAATCCTTGTTTGAACATCTGTTGTACCTGTGTTTGAAGACTGCTAGAGTGGGGCTACACTTTGTGCGAAGTTTGACTATTTTGTCTAAAGACATTTGTTCTTTCCTCATGAAATATGACAATATTGCATAAGGAACACAGTTATCCGAAGTGAAATAAATATACAAGCACCTCAGTTGTTTATTCATAGGATTTTCTTTCCTTTGATTTTAGATTTGCTGAAAAACATGTACAAATATTAAAGTACAACTATAAAGTTACTATGTGGAATTTAATTGTATTGGGAAATACTCATCCATATATAGTTCCATAATCTGTGAGAGATTATCACTTACTAAATAAATCCATGTGCTCAAAATAGTAATTTCTATTTATTTCAAGACTACTTCAAGTCACTTCTCTTAAAGCTGAGAAAATACACCACTATGTGTTTACCACGTAATTGAAGGGAGACTGCAGTGGTGGCTGTGAATTGGATGCCGTGTGCCATTCCATTCTGAATGAAGAGTTGAGTTTAGTTTCTTTGCTAGGTTTGGCAGAACCAAAAGTCTGTCTCAGCTACGACAGCTGCCTGAGTTTGTTGGGGGGGTTTAGGGGTTTTTGGTGTTGTGGGTTTTTTTTGTTTTGTTTTTTTTTTTTTAAGCAAAGGGGGATGTCTTACCACTCATAGTTATCAGAAAAATTACATTAGACTTAGGAGTTGGAAACTGTGTTTAATTTGCATGGTGTCTCATGAAACCCAAGCAGAGGGCATGTTTTTTAACAGGCTTGGTAGGTTGCAGCCACAGTATTGGCAGAAAATGTCACTGAAAGACTTGGTTGATAGTCAGCTTTCAACAGTTTGAATGTTGGCTTGCTTAGACTACTTAGGTGAATTTCGTTATAAGTATTTGCTACTAATGCAAGCAATGTTTTTTAAGAAACTGTTAAATACACTTTTTTTGAGGTAATAAACTTTAGATTTTTCTGAAGTTTTCAAAATAGGCAGATCTTTTTAATTTAGTTAAATCACTGAGCAGCAGAGATGTTTACAATGTCCTAATGTTTTCGGCTGTTGGCAAGTCCAGGGAATACTGTCCTGGACAGATACGAGGAATGCAGAATCTTCAAATTATGTGCTGAATGCTCCAGATGGACAGCTTAAGGGGAGCATTCAGCACATTTGGCTTAAAATGACACTTTTCTTTTTTAGATTCAGACCCACCGGCTCCTGCTCCTTGTGAAGCCCCAGTGTGCGTTATGCTGGTGACAGCACTCACCATGGAATTCTGCTGGAGCCTGGAGCCGGCATGTAGGGTTTAGGTAAGTCGTATTTGCAAAAGCAAGCAACAATATTGTGTGGTGGGTTTTAATATTTTCTATCCTGGCAGCTAAGAAACAAGGACTGCTTAAATAAAAAGGAAAGCAAAGCCACCATTTTATCTATTAAAACCCTCACAATATTGTGAACAAAAACTTACCAAACTCTAAGTATCCTGTAGTTGGTGTTACTACACCAGGTGCAATTCCTCAATGGGTCATCACAATGAGCAGGAACCAAATAATGCAGACCACCTTAATTTACAAAATTTAAAAGCCGAAAACAATACCACTGTAAATATCTCTCAAACTGATGGGTTTGTGAACTTCAGATTTGTCATAATTCATCAGCTCGTGGTTTTGTCCATTTTATTTCATAGGTGATGCTTAACGAGTAGCATATCGTACAGTTTGCTTGAGACATCCAGTAAAAATTTGTTTTAATTCAGCCTTCATATTTTAGGAAACTTCAATAAATGTTGGCTTGAATAAGTTAAAGTATATGACTTCTCTTCCTTCAGTAGCTTTACCTTTAGAGCTCTTAATTAACAAAGTCAGGAGATGATCCCAGATCTAGGTTTACTTATGTTGTCCAAAGAACTTATATTCTAGTTAATAGGTATGGTTCAGTATTTACAGGTACATCCCGCACCTAGTTCTGTATTGCTACATGTTGCTGTAACATGTCCAAAACTGTTGTCTTACAGAAAGACAGTAAAAGGAATTACCAGTTGTCTTTATTAAGTAGAGATAATCAGTTTCTGTTTAGTTAAGTTAGTAAGTGATAAAAGATCTTTTTTTAGCCAAGCATATGCATTGTGATACCGAACTTAATTTTTGAAGTGCTATTTTTGTTGTCCTGTGCAACTTAGTTTTAAAATTGCTCAACTCTAGTGTATAGGCAGAAAAAAAAGTCTTTCCTTGTAATGATCTTCAGTTTTACATGTTTGCTGATGAAGTAGTGTTGAGAACTGGTGGAACTCCATGTGACCTTTCTTGCTGTGGTTTTGAATTACAAGCTCAGATTGCTCTCCGTGTTTTTCCTATGTTTAGAATTACTGATAGTTTTGTTCCTACTTGTGCATGTATTCTATGGGTCACACTTCAGATGTTTGTAGTTTTTTCAAACTAATTTTCCCTTTTTAACAGACTTCCTAGTTCCTCTTGATCACTTGCTTTTGTGTTATAGTATTTTTCATTTTGAATTCTGCTTTATGCAGAGATTTGTATTGAGTATATACTTTATTCCAAGATACAAGGAAAGAGTACGGCCAAATCTAATTTCAGTCATTTTTGTACCTGTAAGCTGACGTTGTTCCCTAGTGCACGTTTTAAATGCCTTTTTCATTATTCCGCCCCCTGCCGTTAAACCCAGAGGGATGGGAAAAAAAACATTTAGGACGGTTTGACACAACATACATATTCCTTTATCAAAGGCTGAAGTCTGAACTGTACTTGGATGTCTTCCAAAGAGGCATCTAAGATAACACTACATGGTTATATATTGTAAATACTGTTGAGACGGGGATAGTAAATTTGAGAGGGAAAGTAAGCTGCTGAGCATACAAAAGGAACAGTATCACTGTGAAATCCAGAGTGGAAATGGAGTGCACAAGAGATGGAAAGCGATAAATACGTGAAACTTTTGAGGCTGAGCTGTACTTACGGTGGCAGAGAGAAAAATATTGCTTTAAGGCAGTAAAAAGTTGTTCTTGTTTAGGTGGCTGATCGTCTGTTTTCTTCATTTGGACAAGATATTTTGGATGCTCTTTATTGGACAGCTACAGAACCTAAGGAAAGAAAAAGAGCTCACATAGGTGTGATTCCTCACTTCTTCATGGCAGTGCTGTATGTCTGTATCCTTTTTCTTCAATAAATTGCAAATTTTTCTGAATTAAGTTACACATTTTTTTGTTTTGTTTATTTTATTTTATTTATTATTTTATTTTAATATATTTGAAGAATTGATAGTATTCGTAAATAAGAGTTCCTTTACTTTCAAAATAAGATTGCCAATACTATGGGTTTTTAAAATGAATGAAAAAACCTTTTAACCTGCTTCAAAAAAAACTTCATAATGGTATACCACTGCAGTAGTAGACAGCTTTTTTAATACCTAGTGCATAGTAAAATGAAATACAGTAATTGGATAGTTCATGGAAACTTTGATTTCTGATTTGTATTTGAGTATTTTTAGTAGCAGGGTCTTGAGGACAGTGGGGTTTTGTTGTTTAGTGGAATGTTGCAGACACCTAGCTCGAAAAATTTTCTTGAAATGAGGGGATAAAATCATGCATATTCAGGATGCAAATGAGTTTAGTGTGAAGTAACCTTACAGTGAATTGATGAAAATGGTCTGTAAAGAGGTATGTAGTCTGATCGATGTGGTGATGAATTGAGAGTTCTTGTACTTTACCCTGTTTTCTCTGAAATCTTTAGGCTAATTCAGAATCCTTCTTTATCTCAGATTTTTTTTTTTTCTTCAGGTTGTGTTGATATTTCTCCTGACTAATGTCATTGGGCTCTTCTAGAACAAGAAAAATGACCATAATTATTACATGCTACATGCACTGTGGGTACATTACATACAAGTACTGTAGTGCTGTAAATCTAGTTGACAGGGAGATAGAAACTTTTTTGTTAAACTTTGGAAACAAAACAGGAAATCTGAGTTTTGATGCTGTTCAGTACTGTTGTGCAGAAAAATTATTTCCAAATATGCTTTCTTAACCCTGCTATCTAGTCCTGCATGCTATTCTTATAATGGTTCAAGCAACAACCCTAAATGTGGCCTTCAACTCCCACAATAAATCACTGCTTACCATCATGATGTCCAATAACGTAAGTATGTAGCTTCATTATATAGCTACCCTAATTTTTTTAGGCATCCTTCATCTTTGTGTATCATATGTCTATTTGCATATTATTTGATTGTCTGATTTGTTTATATAAATTTTTTATCAATAAAAACTAACTGACTGTTTTTAAAAATTGCAGTTTGTTGAAATAAAAGGAAGTGTTTTCAAGAAGTTTGAGAAGAACAATCTTTTTCAAATGTCAAATAGTGGTACGTATAGATGTGCTAATCAGAAGAAAATGTGAAGTGAGATGCTGATATTTTAAATATAATCATTTATTTAATATTAATGGTAAACAAGCTTTACCTTGAGGAATTTGAACATTCTGACTTGACTTCCTCACCTTCCCTATTACGGTTTGGTTCAGTAGGACAAAACTGGGATTCAATTTCCAGGAAGACCATTTTTCTTTAAATGGCTAGTTTTTGTTTGAGGTACTAAAACAACCTGTTTGCTGGGTCCTAAAGTTATTATTAAATACGAATTTCAGAATTAAGTTATGATACTCAAAATAACCATGCTTCGATATCTCTGAAGTCTTCTTTGTTTTCAAAAAGTTGTCTTTGTAGTGTGCTATGTTGACAGTGATCTCAGAATGCATGTTGTTTGGCAGTTGTGAGGATTTGTGTTTCATGAGGAAAAGCTGTTTATAAGCATCCCTTGATGGTGGTTCTTCTAATAGGAGATACTGCAGTTTAAGGTTGTAATAGAGCTTCTTCACTTGTAATATTTTGTGTTCTTTGAACACTTTTCTTTCTGTTATTTTGTGCATATGACATTTTTGGTTAAAGCTATTTATACAGATAAGCAGACAGCATTTTTTTTTTTCATTCCAACTCCTGTGTTTTTAAACCAGAGAACTCAGATACTCAATAGGTTAAATACTGTAGCTGCTTGTTTAAAAATGGATGATTTGGATTTTTATATCAAGAGTTAAACTTTCAGCAGGCTTGCTTCAGGTTTTGAATTCTGGCCATTGATGCAATTTTTGTCTAATTCATCTGCAAACTGCAATGATATTACATGCTAATGTTAAATGACAATTGTTTTGTGATGCTTTAGATGAAAGACCGTTTACATAAAATCTTAAATATATTGCGTAACAGAAAAGTTAGCACTAAATTTTAATCTATTTCTTAGAAGTTCTTAAAAACCCAAAAAATAATCTTCCCGGCTGGGTTGATAAGGTTTTATCTGTGCTAATAGTATGTATTTTTGATTCTAAAATTTAAATACTTATATTTTTAAAATTAAATTTATTTAACTTTACAGTGAGAACATCTAAAAGTGGTGTTTAAATAAATGAAGAACTGCTATTAGAAATGGGTAGTAATTTCCTCCATAAAAAGCATCTGCAATAGTATGTTAGAAGAAATGTAGATCAATATTTTTTTGCTAGGCATTATTATTGAAGACCCATAATAGCAATATCAGGTATCCCTTTATCACTTGGTGGAAAAAGTGATGCCATTCATTATGCCATATGGGGTAGAAGCAGGTGAGTACATACATAGAAGAGTGCACAAAACAAGCTAATTTATTCCCTTCAAACAGATAACTTTTCCTGGAACCACTTCTCAGTATGGTTATAAATAGCAGTGTTTTTCTTCTCAGAAATAAATAACGTAGGCAGGTTTTTAGGCAAGGTTTTCACCTCTTCTGAACTTGAACAGATTTAGTGCATCGCAGCTTCGGTAAGGATGGATCAGTAGTGCTTCAGTTTATGTATTGTGATAACTTTGTTATCCTTTAAATGTTTTATTTCCTGCAGCTGAAACAGTAGTGCATCTTGCATTGGCATGCTACACCAGTGCTGTATCCTGCTGCTGGAACTGAGGCTAGTCTGGTCCTGTGGACTGAGCTTCCAGTTAGCCTTTGGACTACCTTGTGCCTGGACTGTACTAGACTGCTAAAATAAAGCACTAAATATAGGTTACCCCATGTATTTCCCACCTTTCAGTTTCTTACAGCTGTTTTCTCAGGTCTGCAGTCGCTGCTGTAGGGCAACAGTGGTAACAGTAGCTGATTAAGCTTAGACAGACTGAATGGATGCCCACTTGCTCCACCTGTTCTGGAGCTCTGCTCAAAATATTACTGTGTTCTCGAACACATGGTTTAAGTTTAGTGAAAAGGTACTGATTATTCCACAGAAGCTAAATATACTAATTTGGGGGGGGTGGGGGGGTGGGGAATAAGTTCAATCTCAGAGAGGCATCTGAGGAACTTGTCATGAATAGGTGAAACTGTCTTCTTATTTGCATGTTAATCAAAAGGAAAATAGGAACTAGCAGAAAAGTAAGATATCAGTGACCTCAAGAGTAGACATTGTGATCAAAAGAAGTTGCTACAAATGTAATTCAAAAGCAAGTAATCTAGTGAATAGAAGCATGTAAATGGAAACGAATGTTTCAGTTGTACTTTCTAAGACATGTCCTGTATTGTGCATTGAAATACCTTGCAGAGCTCTGCATGGTATTGAAGACACAATGTAATAAGACACCAGGATATGAAGTGCCACCAAGCTACCAGTTTAGATCTCGAAATCATGAAATCATTTTCATTTTGCATTGTGCTCAGCATTTGCTTGTGGATAGCAAGCTGATGTGTGACTGTACTATTTTTCCCAGTATTCCCCGTTCTGGACTTAGTGGAATCTGTGTTCCTTCTCAGCTTTGCATGGCCATTGAAAATTCTGCTGTAATAGCTAATTCATTAAAACTTCAGGACTTAAACAACTGTGAATCATCTACATAAGGCCTAATTGAACAGACCAGGAGATATACATTGGTTACAGTTAATCAAATAAAACCAAACCTGTTATCTTTTAGGTGCAGGGGGTCAACAAAGATCTTGGGGTTTGTGTAGCTGCTTAAGATTGCAGCTGCAGAATCTGTGATTTCAACCATATCTGCTCCTGCAGCTTTGGCTTGTCAGCTGCAGCAAAACTACTTTCACATCGTCACTCTGACTTTTACTAGGAAATTTATGTACACCCAGGCAATCTAAACTCTGTGGCCATTGCAAAAGACTTACATACATAAGACTTAAAACCTTAGTTTGTTGTAGCAGGGAGAAATATTTCCCTAAATTTAAATAGTATATTCTCTTTTTGAAATAGATATCTGTAAGCTAATTTTGTAGGGTTCAGGATTAGTGAGCAGAGACCAAAATTATAAAGAGAAGCTCTTTCATCATTGTTGAAAGCCCAGCACGCTGCTTTCCTTTATGCTTTTAAATATCTTATTTTAATTTCAAGCTATGCTCTAAACTAAATTTTTCACAAAACACAATAGTTCTTCATGTGAAGAAGTACATTAGGTGCAGTACATTACATTATTTTTTTTTTGCTTGGCTGTTTGGCCAGATTATTCCTTGTTTTTTAAATCTCCCATCTCAAAAACTTAACATATTTATTCTGAAGTTTCAGGAACTTCAGTGTTTTTCTTTGTAATTTCTTTCTCTTTTTTTTTTTTTTTAAATTCTGTTCTTCCTGCTTTGTTCCCAATTTATCAGTCTCTTTGATAAAAATATTGAACAGCCTTCATTTTTACCTTTGGTCTCTGATATTCAAACTGCTTTCTCATGTGGTTTTAGTTTTTTTCATTATAGTAATCTAGTTATTCACTTTAAGGATGAGGGATTGGTGGGCAGGAGTACATTTAAGATAGGTCAGTGCCTACTTGATGATTCCTTGTTCAGTCTTTGATCCTTTCTTGTGCTCCAGTCTCTTGTTAAGAGGTAGTTGTCACTAGAGCTACTTACAATTTGCTGAGATGTAAATGAAAAGATCTTGTTTTACTTCTTACACACTATGATTTATCACCGGCTTTTGATCTACACACATAAACAGAGGGATTAACATCAATTTTTTTTTTCCTTCCTGATTAAGGATTCCTGCATGATATGTCAGGGAATCTGGAAGGAAACTAGGTATTCTGAAGACTGTTTTCTACCCAAATGAGTAGAAGTGCCACTTCTGGATCTCTGTTCCTGGGATCTCGCTGCCCTTCTTGTTGGTTACCACTGCAAAGTACCTAAGTTCTTCAGAGTTCAGGTCCTTCCTGAATGAGTTCAGTAATCAATTGTTTGGGATGTTGGCTAATTAATTACACTAGTCCATCCTAGATGCAGTGCTGTCCTAGGAACATCCTTTATTTCCAGTCACATCCCTTTCTGTAGTCTTTCATGTGTTTTAAAAGTGATGATATCCTCTGTCATATTGGCACTTAAACTTTGAGTCGCTGTTGCTATCAGTCCTTTAAACTGAATGTCTCAATTTTCCAGAAAAAACTATAGAAGGGCAGAATGTGTTAATATGAGCATAGAGTTCCATTTGAATTGGAATGGCAGGGTTGATATAAGTGGAGTGAAAGTGTTTAAAAACTGATTTGGTTATGTGCAATCCTTTTTTTGGGCTTCACTTCACAGAACCAGTGTTTAAAAAAAAAAAGTACACCTTGCTTTTTTCCCCTATTGCATTTATGGCAGTATGTACATTACTGGCTTTGAAATAAATGTTTACCACCTCTATTCACATACCAACCCTAATAGGTGTCCATGACCTATCTTTGTGGAAAAAAGATATATTGTGGTTCCATTTTTGTCACGTGACCACTAAATTCTGATGCACTGTGTCCTGGAAGGTCTGATTCTTCTTTTTGCTTTTCATTATACTGAAATACATATTTTAAAGGAAACTGAAAGGCTTTAATCATATGCAGTCACTTGCACTACCAGTGGATGCATGGACGCACAAGCAGATTCAGTGGCATAATTGTCACTTCTCAAAACAGCCTGAAGAGTGTGTCTGTGGGGAGTATGTAGTATGATGTGTGACCAGGCTTCAGGGCCAGCCCTATCAAGAGTAGAGTTTAAGCACAATGTTAGAATGCAGTCTGGGCACGGTGTGTGCTGACAAGAGACCAGTCAGGGAGATAAGTATGTCTGAATTAGTGGTAGATGTCAGCTCTTCAGCACTTAGGAGCATAAACAGTGAGAAAGTAAACTTCTTAATCATGTGCTTGTGGAGATAGCTGAAGACTGTTTAAAATGTCCTCAGCCTGTTGTTTTGGCTGTCATTTGACCCTGTGTTACAATGGATGGAGTTATTAAAGCTATACTGTATTCTAATGGAAAAACAGTTCTTGATATCTTGGCTTATCACTAACACTTTGTGAAACTGAGTTGAAATGGTTTATATCAATGTTATTAAGGGTTGTCATGATGGATAATGAAGAACGGAGATCTCTTCTTCTTCCCGCTTTACTCTTTGTCATGCTAACACAGAATAGAGATGTTTCCTTTTGACAGTACCTGCAATCTCCTATGACTGAACTGGAATACTGGTGACTTGTTGCTGTTTCCCCAGTTTCACAAATATAGTATTCTACTTTCTCTTTCTTCTTCTTCAAGAGCATGATGTCCATAAGTGTGAATCTAGGCATGTAGCCTCACTTGTTCTTTAGTTCACCACATTATCTGAGAAGTGGCAAGACATGGAAATTCCCCTCACCTGTTTGAAGAAAAAATACCTGTACCTATAAATCATCAAATAAGTTCATAATAAATGCTGAACGTTATTGGTGCATATTTTGTATTCTGAAATTTTAGTTGGGATTTAGGAGTAATTACCATTGATTATTTTGGATATCCTGAAGGCTTTTTCTTTCTTTTGCCTTTGTCCTTGAGGGTGAGAAATGAAAGTAATTTCTAAATCATTTGGGTTTACTGTTGAAGCCCTTTCTCCCTGCTTGCCCCTCTGCCAAGCAGTTAATGAGAGGGGTGAGGATGAAGAGCAGGTGCACTCATTCCTCTTACTCCAAGTAGCCTTGAACAGCTGTGGCAGCAGAAATGACAGAAGGGAGGCCAGTGAGAAGAGGAAAAATAAGCAGAGGGGAAAACAGGTGTCAGCCTGTCATTAGTGGGGGGAAAAATGTTTATTGTTGGAGCATAAGAGGAAATCTAAGGCCAAAGACGGCCATTCTGAATTTAAACCTGTCATATGTTAAGCTGGTAATAAACATCTGAAGGTTTGGCTTGAGACATGCTTTAATGTTTAGGCCTGAATTAAGGTCCTTGCGTCCCACTTGAGAATTTCTATCTGTACAGACCACCCTGGAATCTGATGCTATGAAGAGGGGATCTGTGTGTTGTCTTATGTGTTATGTGTCATGGCAGTGTGGAAGTATGCAGTGTGAGATTTTTGGGAAACAGTCTGAGAACTCAGTGGTTACTTTCAAGTCACTAATGGGTGTGGTAGAGAATATAGATCAAGGAATGCTAGACTGCATATTAATCCATTGGTGACAGTGCCAAATGATATCTCATAATTAGAAAATACTGTGTTCTGGGAATTTGGGCAGTATTTGGTGAATTCAGAAGCACAGAAGAACATCCTTGACTTCTTGGAGTGTTATCGGCAGGAAACCAAGAAATTAGGGTTAGGCCTCACCTATGTCCTTGTTTCTTCCCCCATACATATGGCACTTGGTCTGTTTTGGAAACTTGTGCTTCATGTGACCTTTCCCCAGCATATACTGAAGGATGAGTTTATGTATCTGAAAATGTGCATTTTTACATGTATGCATGCAGTCTCATACTTCTTGAATTCTGTGTGTTTTTTGTTCCCCTCTCATGGAGGAGTTGTTTTTTTTTCCTTCAGGCTTGCCAGTATTTTGAAACTTCTTTTTTGAAATGAGGGATGTTGTACAAGAATACAGTAACTGCAACCATGAACATGGGTTTGTAGTCAGTTAGAGATGATGGCAGCTGCTGACAAAAAGTGAAAGTCAAATATGGTTTTGGCCATCTCAGTCCTTGTGTGTTCTTCTGAACGTTTCTATTTCTCCCTATTTTCTTTCAATTTTGACTAAAATCAGTAGGTAGAACCCCACAGAATATTCAAGGTGCTTAAGGAAATGAACCGTTTGGATTTGGAGGTGACTTACCCACAAAGAACATTATGTTTTAGGTTTTACCCCATTTTTCAATAATACAATTACAGGAAGGTTTTTTTAATATGTTAAGGTGATGCTTCCTGACGCAAGCTGTATGGGTTGTTTCTTGACATAGGGTACCAAAGTAGAAAAAAACACCCTGCCTACTCTGGGAGGGCAAGTCATAGGGCACCATCTCAAGTCAGGCTCCTTTTGTGTTATAGTTCTTATGGTTTTGATAACTGAGCTGATGTATCCTGATGTTCCCTCTTAAGATGGCAATGTGAAAGACTAGTAGGAACCTTGTAAATAAGATGTAATAGTTGTCTTGAAACACTCCCCCACCCACTAATGGGCCCAGTATATAACAATTTGGATATGCGTGATATCTAGAAAATGAAATTTGCCTTGCTAATAACTTGAAATGACAGACAGGTGTATTGTCTCCATTTTTGCACCAGAGGTGCTGGTTCTTTTTGAATCCAACAAGAAATGCACAAAGTTTATCAAGACAGAGGACTATTTTATTAACATATTAGAAAAGGTGGTAGCAAGTTACAAGTAAGTCCCTTCTGATGCTGGGAACCCTGAGTTGATGCAGCATCAGTCAGACCTCCAGTCAGGCCACAGCATTCTGCAGAGCTCCTGTTATAGAGTCATAGCATGGTTTAGGTTGGAAAGGACCTTAAAGATCATCTAGTTCCAACCCCTCTGCCATGGCCAAGAACACCTCCCACTAGACCAGGTTGCTTAAAGCCCCATCCAACCTGGCCTTGAACGCTTCCAGGGAGGAGGCACCTACAACTTCCCTGGGCAATTTGTTGCAGTGTCTCACCACCCTCAGTGAAAAATTTCTTCCTAATATCTCATCTAAATCTACCCTCTTACGGTTTGAAGCCATTACACCTCATCCTATCATGCCCTTGTAAAAAGTCCTTCTCCAGCCTTCTTGTAGGCCCCCTTCAGATACTGGAAGCTGCTGTAAGGTCTCCCTGGAGCCTTCTCTTCTCCAGGCTGAACAACCCCAACTCTCTCAGCCTGTCCTCATAGGAGAGGTGCTCCAGCCCTCTGATCATCTTTATGGCCCTCCTCTGGATCTGCTCCAACAGGTCCATGTCCTTCTTATGTTGAGGGCTCCAGAACCGGAAGCAGTGCTCTGGTGAGACCCCACCTGGAATAGAGTAGAGGGACAGAATCACCTCGCTTGGCCTGCTGGCCATGCTTCTTTTCATGCAGCCCAGGATATGGTTGGTCTTCTGGGCTGCGAGCGTGCATTGCTGGCTCATGTTGAGTTTCTCATCAGCCGATCAAGTCCTTCTCCTCAGGGCTGTTCTCAATCCATTTTCTACCCACCTTGTATTTGTGCATGGGATTGCCCCGGCCCCCATGCAGGACCTTGCACTTGGCCTTGTTGAACTTCATGAGGTTTGCACAAGTTGGTTCATGGTGAGGTTCACAACATTCCCTCCCCTCAAACATGGTAAAACAATTTGTAGAAAAGATTTTCTAATCCAAGACTTAATAAATGATAGAACTACAGAATAAGTAGATATCTGTGTATGCAAATAAATGTTTCCTTGGACTTAACAGCTTTTTTTTTAACTAGATATAAAAGAGAGGTTCACCAATTACGTGCTGCTACTAATTGTATGTCTAAGAAATATGGAACAGTTCTCATGGAATCCAGGTGAGTAAACTAGTAGAAAATTTAAATACAAAATGACAAATTCCTGTGCTATCAACTACTGTATTATTTGCTTCTGTCCTCAGTCTGAAAGATGAGAGTAACCAGGACATTTAATTGATGAATCTGAATTTGTCAAATACTTTAGATTATCATTTTTCTATTTCTGGCTTTCTTGTAATAGTGACTCTTATCCTTTCTGCTAGAAGTATATGCTGTTATGCTACAAACATGCATAGTTCTGTTTCAGGTAGTGTCTGGAATGATTTCTTCCCAGCACTTCCTTTTCCTTGGAGTACATTGAGGATGAAGAATCCCCTAGAGAATTTTATTTTGTGAGGCTAGTGAGATTGAAATTTGATAGAAGATTATGTAAAAACTTCCATTCATGATTTAATGTAGATTATACTTAGGATTTTAAATATTGAGTAAAATGTGGATTTTATTTTATTAAAACTTTGTTTTAATGATTTTGAGCCCTGATCTGTGTGGTGTACTTTGCTTGAATTTTACCAGTCTAACCAAATTTTACCTTAAGCCTCAAAAACCACAGGTGCTTTTCTCTATTCATCATACATACTGAACACCTACTACCTAGTACTTGCAAAAGTTGTCTTCCTAGTAGAGATAAAGCATTACAAAGTAGAGCCTTTAGAACCTGATCCTAATTGCGATGTGATTGTATAGTATTGATAAGTTTCTAGAACAGCAATGGAATAAGCGAGAACTTGCATGCTACCTATGGAGTGGTGATGTGAAGTTACAGACTCTTCAGGCTCTTGAGGGTTTTTGACTGTTGAGCAAAAGCGTTATAATTTTTATTTTGTATACTGGAGCCAAATTAAGTGGCCTAACTTGTTTCTTCTTGACCTTCAGATCATCTTTGGGTGTTATTCCCAGATGTTTGCATGGTGGTTGCTTCAGAAATTGCGGTGGATATTGTGAAACATGCCTTTATAACAAAATTCAATGACATCACAGCAGATGTAGGTATCCTGTATGGAATGCTGAGTGCTATTTTAAGTTATTGTTTATTTTACTATTACTTTTTCAATATTAAAATTTATTCCAGTGCAGAAAATGTAAAAATTGTTGTTTTCATACATAGGATATCATTTCAAAAAGCTTGGTAATTTCCTGATAGAATATACTTCTGAGGATCTTTATAACACCTCTGCTTCTAGATTAGTAGTTCCAGATCCATAAATTATTGAAAGTGTTGTATAACAGTTCACGTAATAACTACAATTCACATAACTGGCAGATCATTTTGTGAAGTGATTACTGGTTTAATTGACAGAAGATTACTTGTTCTACAGTCTAGACAGAGCTTGTACCTTTTCCTAGCAGAATGGATTGTAGGTTAAAATTCAGGCTTTAGGAAAAACAGGTGTTGTGAGGCTGCTGAATCTTTATTCTTGCGTGTGTGTTAAAGGTGGAATCTGAAATCAGAGATAAATTTTTCCACTGTCCCTAGAGCACTAATGTGAAGTGGGTTATCTCTTAGTTTCCTGCTCCTGAAATTTCTTATGCTATATGTATTATGTAGTCCCTCTTTTAAAACAGTAGATGAGGTTACTTTTTGTGTGGTGCAGGATGATACAGTGGCCATTTGTCTTGCATCTTGTGTGAATTCAAATGCACTTGGTAAACTTGTGAAGGGATGAGTTAGCACATTTTCACTAATAAAACCACTTTTCAGGAAATGAGATCAGAACTGGGAAGCATCTATAAAGTAACTACATTGCGTGGTGTGGAAACAAGTCTCATAGATATAAGTTCCCTTATGCCAGAGGCATTTATGCATGCCCTACTTTCACATAGAGAGTGTGAAAAAGAGCAATAATGAAGTCGCAATAGGCAAAAACGTAGCATGCCTCAGTGTGTTGAAACAGCTGGAAGATGGGGGTAGCGGGTGATGATTTTGCAAGGTTTATTTAACAAACTTTATATTTTTTGTATGAAGTTCTAAAGATTTTCAGTTGCTAGGTCAGACTTTTTCAGTTTTGAACACCTACAGTGCAAGTTGCCCTGCCACTTAACTTTAAAATAGGTGCTTGTCTGTCTTAGTATGCAAAACTGTTTCAAAGAGAAAGACAAGCTTTATTCATCTTCTGATATGATTTGCCTTTTTCGTGGCAACACTTGCTTGGTATATAAGTAAGCTTTCTCATTTGTTTACTTTGATCCCAGTGCTGCCTTTCATGTAGCTTAGAACAAATTATGAACTGTAAGAAAAAAGTAAACATGATTTCTCTTACTTGGTGTTTCTGAGTGTTTCTGGTGTTTCTGAATCCTCAAATTCAGTAAATGCTTTTAGCATTTTGTTTATGGTGTATATAGACAAGTTACTTCATTGCAGAAATAGAGACTCATCTGCAACAGTTAGACGTCAGAAAAACTGGCTTTGACTCCTTCAGCCTGTGTTTATAATATTTTTTTTACAGAAATATTTTATTAATATCTCTGTTGTTTCTATAGAGCATGATAAAAGATTAATCACGCATCCAATGTGCTGGATTTTTTCCAGGTCTACAGTGAATACAGAGCCAGTCTTGCATTTGACCTTGTTAGCAGTCGACAGAAAAATGTAAGCCTGAAAATAAAGGTGTTTTCTCGTATTAACTAACGTAATTGTTATGGGGGGGGGGTATTGGAACAAATACTTAAAGAAATACATAGAGAACTGTTATAGTCCTACTGCACTTCTTTTTTTAATACTCTGCTTTTTTTAATAACAAGTAACGGGAATATTTCCTTGTGATTTATATTCTTATTTTTATCCAGTTTTTCACATCAGTTCAGGCTTTATTTAATATATTGTTGAGAAGTCTCTTCCAAATACACTTACAGTCACGGGATGGTTATAACAACTTTGACATTTTTGAGATGTATGGGAAGTAAGCAAGCTTAACAAGATGTTCTTGAGATAATTTTAAATTACTGTTCTTTTTGCTTTATTTTAACTGTGTTGGATCAAAATGAAATTTTCGTTAGGAATTTATATTGTTTCTTCACAGATAGCATGCACAGATGTGTAGGGATGTTTGTACTATGCATGTTAGTGTTGCAGCAATGGGTATTTATGGAACGCACAGACTGCTTGTGTTTTTCGTTAGTACTGTTTTTTGGAAGACTATTTACAGCACAGCTTTCCTGAATGAGTCTCTTGCTCATTAGTGAGTGCTCTGGATGAGTGGTCTCACTATTCATTGAACTTTTATAATAATAATTTGTGTAGTTTTCTTGGGCATGTTTAATAGCTATTGCTAGGAATGCAATAGTTACCCTTCATAATGAAGTTAGACACCTTCCATTACAAATAATTATTAATAATTTGTTAATTAAAAAATTGTTTATGAGTTCTGAAAACTCCATTACGTTTCCTAAGGATCCTCTGTAGAAAATTAGTGCCTATGTGATGCTACCTACCTTTGGTATGACGTTCAATACTACGTGAAAGCTGTCGTGCAGAGTAGTTGGGTTTTGAGAGTGCCAATGTAAACATATTTTCAAAATTATTTTAACACAATTATACTGAGGTTAATTATAGATGTTTGTAGAATGATTTAAAATTCCTAGTGTGATGTAGTGTGATTCCTAGTGTACTTTTATCCCTGTTATGGATTTTTCTGTACAGTATTTGAGGATCAAAGTCAAATTAATACAAAAAGGTCTCTAAGCTAGTAATAATGTACAGATGAAATATCATAGCATATTTGGATTCATTGTCCTAATTGCTCTCGATTTAGACGTTGTTATACTCCAGTTATTCTTGATTTAGAGCACTGAAGCTAATATTGCTGGTCATGCTAGTAATACATCTTTGTCTGAGAGAACAGGTATCTGCATTTGAATTTCAAAATGTGAATAGGTACACTTTATACCAGTATAGTGCTTGTTAGCAGAAGTTGATTCTTATCTAGAGGGTGTGTCAAGCTAAAATAAGCCCATTCCTTTGCATAAATAGTTCATTATTCTTCCTCTTTTTTTGTTTCCTAGGCATATACAGATTATAGTGATTCGGTTTCCAGAAGAATGGGTTTCATTCCTCTTCCGCTGGCTGTTTTAGTAAGTTGTATCTCTCCTACCAGTTTTCTGTCAATAAGATCTCACTTTGAGAATATATGCCTCTGAGATAGCTAACTCATTTTGATGTTTTGGGGGTGAAATGATAACCTTAAGTAAATTAAACGATGCTGCAGGGTTGAGTTAGCTTTTGGTATAACCCATATCACATACTAATTACAACTTCACGAATGTGTTACTGTTTATCAGCCTTTCATAGAGAACTAAATATATATTAATTTTATCAAATTCATAAGCACTTGAACTGTAGCAGTGGAATGAAACTACATCTGTGCTTATTAGACATTTATTCCTTTTGGCAATTATCCTATTCATTCATTCAGAATAGTCAAAGCAGCTGGTTGCCAGAAGGTTAGCTAGTAGTGTACTAGGGTTTTTTTAGGTTTTTCGTAGGAGTCCTTGTGGTTGTCCCTGTAATGGTATGCTTAATGACTCAGTTGTCTTTTATATGGGGCATTGTGCTTCTGAGCTGTTGTAGAATACGTGATTGTGAAATAGTTGACCCTGTTCCATGGACGTGCTGCTATAAAATGAATCACTTCATTATTGGAATTGTGTCCACATGCTGTCTGTTCTGAATTAACTGTTGCAGAATGTTTTCTGTAAATAGCTGCTCTGATTTTCCCCATACATGCATGTAGACAAGCAGTAGTTATCATAATACTGGGAATGTGTCCTTGGTTTGCCAGCAAAGATGCTAATTTGTAACTTTCCTGGAAGAATATAAATATAAATTAACTTTTAAATGTAATGTTCTCCCGTAGAGATGGGGGGAAATACTATTGACAGGCTTTGCCTAGTTTTTATCCAGGATTTAAAAAAACCCAAAAACTATTAGAATCATGATTTCTTTTATAACTAAATATAACTTGGTGTTCGCAGACAACACCAAGTTAAGCCGAAGTGTTGATTCCCAGGAGGATAGGGAAGCTCTACAGAGAGACTTGGATAGATTGGATCATTGGGCCGACATCAACGGTATGAGTTTCAACAAGGGCAAGTGCCAGGTCCTGCACTTGGGCCACAATAACCCCATGCAGCGCTACAGGCTTGGGGAAGAATGGCTGCAAAGCTGCCTGGCAGAAAGAGACCTGGGGGTTCTAATTGATAAGCGGCTGAATATGAGCCGTCAGTGTGCCCAGGTGGCCAAGAAAGCCAACGGCATCCTGGCTTGTATTAGAAATAGCGTGGCCAGCAGGGAGGTGATTGTGCCCCTGTACTCAGCACTGGTGAGGCCACACCTCAAGTATTGTGTCCAGTTTTGGGCACCTCAATACAAGAGAGATATCAAGGTGCTGGAGCGAGTGCAGAGGAGGGCAATGAAGCTGGTGAAGGGCCTCGCAAACAAATCATATGAAGAGCGGCTGAAGGAGCTGGGACTGTTTAGTTTGAGGAGGAGGAGGCTGAGGGGAGACCTCATCACTCTCTACAGCTATTTGAAAGGACGCGGTAGAGAGGTTGGTGCTGGTCTCTTCTCACAGGTGATTAATGACAGAACAAGAGGGAACGGCTTCAAGCTCCAACAGGGTAGATTTAGACTGAACATTAGGAAAGAATTTTTCACAGAAAGAGTGGTCGGGCATTGGAATAGGCTGCCCAGGGAGATGGCTGAGTCACCATCCCTGGATGTGTTTAAGAGCCATTTAGATGTGGTGTTGGGGAATATGGTGTAGGGGAGAACTTTGTAGAGTAGGGTAGATGGTTGGACTCGATGATCCCAAGGGTCTCTTCCAACCTAGACAATTCTATGATTCTATAAATACATCCAGTGAGAATTCAATTGAAATGATTTTTTCAAGTTGTGTTGTGATATGTTACCCTGTATAATAATAGGTTTAAAACAAACTCAAGTGCTTTGCTAACTTGGAACCCTAACTGTGAAATACTGAAGTAAAACTGAGATTTCGGGATCATCTCTACTGAAACTGGGGATTCACATGCCTAGTCCACAAAGCAATTTCATATTTAAAACGTTAGCATAGTGTTAAACACTGATTCTGTTTTACTGCATCAGCATCTCTTGATATTTTCCTCAAAAATTGTTAACTCAGCTTCCAGCCCTTGACTTTTGGGGAGGGTTTTTTCACTCGTTATTCTACTTGGAAGTCAGTAGTGAAGGAAACATTATTAGACTGTAGTTTGGCAAAGTTGTTGGTATAATACTTATTCAACCTAAAGTCTTGAACAGTTAGCCCTACCAAGGGAAACATTAGAATAAATTTCTGTTAATGTAAATGTTTCTACTTTTGTCTTGAATTTACCAAGTAAGAAACATCTGTTAAAATATTCTATTAATAATTGTGTGCTGTATGTTTAACTGTTTTAACTTTTATTCTTAAAACAGCTCATCAGAGTTGTAACAAGCTCAATAAAAGTACAAGGAATCTTAGCTTATGTTTGTGTTGTGCTGTTCTACTGTGGGTAAGTAATGCACACAATTGAAAAGTGTTTATCATTATTTGATCAGATATGTGAAAAATGCTTCTGTTGATACTTTTAGGTATAAGTGTAAACACAGTTTATGTTCAGTAGAACAAAAATGTAAAACACTTATGCTCATAAACTGAAATTGAGAGTGCAGATTGGTCCCTAAGTACTTCAACTGCATTGAGGGATTATAGATCTCAATAAGTAACTTCAGTAATGAAAGTAACTAATGGAAAAATGATTGAAAAGAATTTTTGACAGACAAGTACCATACCTCTGCATAAAAGGGGAAATTGAATTCAAAGGAGTGAAACTTTCTGTGAAAAGAACAAAAGATTCAATATGCCAACAAAAACAAGCAGCTTAAGTGCTCTGGGCAGATCATGAATTCTCCTCTCTGGTAGTTAAATGCAAGGTTTCTTCATGTTAGGAAACTGCTATATGAAAAAAAAATAAATACAAGGCTCACCTTTCTGGGAAGGAGGGGGTGTCAGTAAGTAATTTTAGTTAAGGAATATAATGTCCTATGGCAATTTGTTTTCCAAAACCGATGATTTGCAAGTATTCCTTCACTGCCAAGTCAGTTTATAATTGTGTTATCCTTAACTTCTCACCAGTTGATACATACTTCTGAGGCACGTTTAGTTGTACTTTAAATCCAGTCTAGTTTGCCTATCTTGAGGCACTTGCTGTAGACTGTATGGGGATGACCAGTTTCTAGGAAAGCTGCATACTGAACTGTGTCAGCGGTTGTTGTCTCTCAGTACTGATTGATATTGGAGTCCTCCTAAAACTGATCATAAAGAATTAAGAGGTTCGAGTTACTGCAGCACAGAGAACCTGCCTATGGTATTGTGGGAATCTCTCGTCCAATGCCCTACCAAGTTGTGTTTGTAACTGAAGGCAGCAAGACAAAAGACTAGGCAGTGTTTCAGCAGGTGCACTGGAAGAGAGCAGGCTGCTGTTTTACAATACTTTATAAAAAGAATGGGATTAGTACACATTTTTTTAAATAGATGGTCTTCTCTCTAATGTGACCTTGATCTGCCAAAAAAGTAGCACTTGGTCTGATATGTCTAGTCCACATCAGTGTAGAGACACATCTCTTTGGTGTCAAATAACTAGGACTTTGAGAGGAATTTGCATATAGGTGAAATATTAAAATATTAGCCATATTCCTCTGCACCATACTTTGATTTCTTCCCCAGCATACCACATGCTGCGCCCATGTTCTCCCTAAAGCCAACTCTATAGAATTGAAAGCACAAGCCCCTCATCACATTCAAGCTGTGGTATATCAAGTTCAGTACCTTCATTCTGCTCAGTGGTTTTTCTT